TTTTAAGAGGAGGTTGGATGACCACCTTACTGGGGTCGTTTGACCCCAGTACTCTTTCCTGCCATGGCAGGGGGTCGGACTAGATGATCTGCTCAGGTCCCTTCCGACCCTAGAAACTATGAAACTATGGCTGGTCGGCCTCTTTCTATCAAATGTCAGAACTGAGGGCTTATTTTTTCTTTCTAAGAGCTGTGTTGTGTGGGGCCTAATTTAAAACCAGCAGACACCAGTGGGACTTTTCCTGTTGACTTCAAAGGTCTTGGGTTAGATCCTAATGATGTTAATAAAACTGTTGTTGCCTTGGGACCTACATCCATAGCCTTTTCCTGCTCGCCCTTTCAGACCTCCCTCTACAGTTCCCACCTCAAGTTTCCTGTCCAAATAATACATTAAGGGTCTGTATACCTGGAAGTGAGTGTAGTTCATGTAGAGAAACCTGAACTCACTTTAAACAGGGTAGCGTGGGTCCTGCTACCAGCATCTCTGGAGAACATGGGGTTTGATTGCAGGATCTAAACCCACCCAAGAAGATGGATAAATATATAGGCAGGCAGAAAAGCTGAGCTCCAGGGTTTCTTAGCTAAATGGCTACTACTGAAGTTAGATAGTTTAGTGTTAGCTTGGATGTATCTACATCAAGTTGCAGCCACATCTCTGACTGGTGTGTAAACTCCCCTTCAGGTATAATATGCATGAGCTTACTACAAAACTAGGCTTTGCAAAGAGGAACTCCATCTGCTAGCTAGAGCAAGGAGCAGACAGCTGAAAGCTGGCTCTCTAGGGTTTAATCATCACCTGTGCTCCTGACTTGCTGTGTTCCCACGATAGGAGCCAGAGAAGGGAACTGGTCCTCTTCTACAGGACTCAGCAGGAGAGTAGTGCCTCTTACCTGATACAAAGCCCACTGAAGCCAATAGGAACCCATCCCATGCTCAGATGGGGGACATGTATCCTGTACTTGTATCTTCTCTTTCCTTTCAAGCTAGCTTGAATCTGCAGGACAATGCCTCGCGTTCTGGACAGCATTGGCACCATCATCAAAGTCTTTTACCAATATGCGACGGAGGACAGGGAGGGCTCCAGCCTGTCCCGGAGACAGATGAGACTGTTTATCCAGAAGGAGTTTGCTGATGTCCTTGTGGTGAGTGTTGGTCCCCAAACACCCTTAAAGGCCTGATACAGGCAGAACATAGCCCGCAAAGCCAGCAATTTTAATTGCAAATGTCCCCAGCTTCACTAATATACATTGCAACTTACAGCATAGGAATGCTCTTACCTGGAGGTAGCAAAGAGGCTCTTGGATGTAGGGAGCTCAGCAGTGCCAGGTAGAGTTATATTCTTTGCATCAGATATTCAAAAGGGGACAACCCTCCTCTTCTAGATAAAAGGGACACCTGGAAAAAAATGTGCATCCCTGCATTTGTTTGCCCCTGCAACCAATTTGAACATGCCAGTCCAGATACTTGTTCCATTAACATAAATGCAAGGGAAAGGAATGACTGGGCAGGTAACATGGCAGCAAGCAAGTGACTAGCACAAAGGAGCACAGAGCAGTAGTCAGAGGTAGCTGCTGAGCACTGGGGGCAAGGCTAGGGAAAGAGAGATGAAGAGAGGCTTGAAACCTGAAGTACCATTGCAAAGACAACTGGGATGGACCAGCAAAATTAATGCCCTTTCCTCCTGATTTGGTTTCCCTACAGAAACCATATGACCCACTGATGATAGACATGGTGCTGCGGCTCCTTGATCAGGATGGAGACGGATCAATAGACTTCCCCGAGTTCCTGATTCTGGCATTTAGAGTGGCTCAGGCCTGTTACAGCTACCTGGCACCAAAACCAGGGCTCCAGGAAAGGCAGGAGCAGGGAAGAAGAGGTAAAGAGCTGAATGAACTTGAAGCAAAAGCAGACAGAGGGAGGAGCCATCAGTTACGTAAGCCTGAACCAAGAGTTGGCAGAAGAAGTCATCCTGAGGACCCAGAACAAGAGCCTGAACCACGGAGGGATGAGGGGACACAACGACAGTCCCTAGAGCCAGAACAACAAGTGTATGAGGGAAGACGTCATCAATCACGTGACCCAGAACGGCGAGAGGAGGTGAGGGGTCGGTCTCAGCCACGTGACATCATGCAAAGCCGTGAGAGAAGCCAACGTCAACTACTTGAACACGAGCCTCAGCTTTACGAGGAAAGCCACCATCAGCCACATGAACAAGAATGCCGAGAGGAGGTGAGGAGCCACTCTCAGCCACGTGATACCAACACACAAGCCTATGAGAGAAGCCGACGTCCGTTACTTGAACATGAATCCCAGCTTGACAAGGAAAGCCATCATCAGCCACGTGAACCAGAGAAGCAAGAGGAGACGAGGAGCCGCTTTCAGTCACAAGAGCCTGAACCACGATGGGATGAGGGAAGACGTCAGCCCCTAGAGCCAAAAGAGCGACAGGAGGTGAGGGGCCGCTCTCAGCCACACGACACTGATACACAAAGCTATGAGAAAAGCCGACGTCCAGTACTTGAACCTGAACCCCAACTTTATGAGGAAAGCCACCATCAGCCACATGAACCAGAACAACGAGAGGAAGCAAAGAGCTGTTCCCAGCCCCAAGAGCCAGAACAACCAGTGTATGAGGGAAGAGGCCAACAGCCACGTGAGCCAGAAGAGCGAAAGAAGGTGAAGAGCTGGTCTCAGCCACGTGACACTGATGCACAAAGCTATGAGAGAGGCCAACGTTCAATTCGTGAACGTGAACCTCAACTTTATGAAGAAAGCCGCCGTCAGCCACATGAACAAGAACAGCAAGAGGCGGTGAGGAGCCACTCACAGACCCAAGAGTCAGAACAAGTGCATGCGGGAAGACGTCATCAGCCACTTGAACCAGAACAGCGAGAGCAGGTGAGGGGCCGCTCTCAGCCACGTGACACTGATACACAAAGCTATGAGAGAAGCCGACGTCCAGCACTTAAACCTGAACCCCAGCTTTATGAGGAAAGCCACCATCAGCCACGTGAACGAGAACAACGAGAGGAAGTGAGAAGCCATTTTCAGCCACGAGAGCCTGAACCTCAAAGGGATGAGAGCAGACAACGTCAGCCCTTAGAGCCAGAACAACAAGTGTATGAGGGAAAACGTCATCAGCCACAGGAACCAGAACAGCAAGAAGAGGTGAGGGGCCGCTCTCAACCACATAATGCTGAAACACAAAGCCATGAGAGAAGCCAATGTCCAGTATTTGAACGTGAACCCCGACTCTATGAGGAAAGCCGCCGCCAGCTACATGAACCAGAACAGCGAGAGGAGGTGAGGAGCCGCTCTCAGCCACATGACAATGACACACAAACCTATGAGAGAAGCCAACGTCCAGTACTTGAACGTGAACCTCGTCTTTACAAGGAAAGCCGCCGTCAGCCACGTGAACCAGAACAGAGAGAGGAAGCAAGGAGCCGTTCCCAGCCCCAAGAGCCAGAACAACCAGTGTATGAGGGAGGACGTCGTCAGCCACGTGAACCAAAACAGCAAGAGGAGGTGAGGAGCTGCTTTCAGCCACATGACACTGACACACAAAGCTTTGAGAAAAGCCAACATCCAGCACTTGAACATGAACCTGAACTTTATGAGGGAAGCCACCGTCAAACACGTGAACCAGAACAGCGAGAGAAGGTGAGGAGCCGCTCTCAGCCCCAAGAGCCTGAACCACGAGGTAATGAGGGAAGACAACATCAGCTACATGAACCGGAACAGCGAGCAGAGATGAGAAGCCACTCTCAGCCACGTAACAATGACAAACAAACCTATGAGAGAAGCCAACGTCCAGTACTTGAACGTGAACCTCAACCTTACAAGGAAAGCCGCCGTCAGCCACGTGAAACAGAACAGCAAAAGGAAGCAGGGAGCCGTTCTCAGCCCCGAGAGGCAGGACAACAAGTGTATGATGGAAGAGGCCATCAGCCATATGAACCACAACAGCGAGAGGAGGTGAGGAGCCACTCTCAGCCACGTGGCACCAACACACCAACTTATGAAAGAAGCCGACGTCCTGTATTTGAACATGAATCCCAGCTTTATAAGGGAAGCCACTGTCAGCCTCTTGAAACAGAACAGCGAGAAGAGGTGAGGAGCCGCTTTCAGCCACGAGAACCCAAACCACGAAGGGAAGAGGGAAGACGTCATTTGCCACATGACCCAGAACAGCGAGAGGAGGTGAAAAGCCGCTCTCAGCCAAGTGACATTGACACGCAAACGTATGAGAGAAGCCAACATCCAGTACTTGAATGTGAACCTCAACTTTATGAGGAAAGCCACCGTCAGCCACGTGAACCAGAACAGCGAGTTGAGGTGAGAAGCCGTTTTCAGCCCCAAGAGTCAAAACAACAAGTGTATGAGGGAAGACACCATCAGCCACATGGACCAGAACAAGAAGAGGTGAGGAGTCGCTCTCAGCCACATGATGCTGACACACAAAACGTTGAGAGAAACCAACGTCCAGCACTTGAACGTGAACCTCAGCTTCATGAGGAAAGAAGCCGTCAGCCACGTGAACCAGAACAGCGAGTTGAGGTGAGGAGACATTTTCAGCCCCAAGAGCCAGAACAACAAGTGTATGGGAGAAGAGGCCACCAGCCACGTGACCCAAAACGAGAAGAGGTGAGGAGCTGCACTCAGTGGCATGAGTCTGACACACAGAACTATGAGAGAAGCCGACATCCAGTGCTTGAACGTAAATCCCTTTATGAGAGAAGCCACCATCAGCCACGTGAACCAGAGCAGCAAAAGGAGGTGAGGTGTCACTTTCAGCCACAAGAACCTGAACCACGAGGGGATGAGGGAAGACAACGTCTGGCCCTAGAGCCAGAACAAAAATTGTATGAGGGAAGATGGCATCAGCCCCTAGAGTCAGAACAGCAAAAGGACATAAGGAGCCGCTTTCACCCATCTAACACTTACACACAAAGCTATGTGAGAAGCCAACGTCCAGCACCTGAACGTGAATCTCAATTTCATGAGGAAAGCCCCCTTCAACCACGTGAACCAGAACAACAAGAGAAGGTGAGGAGCCGCTCTCAACCCCAAGAGCCCGAACCACAAGGGGATGAGGGAAGACATCGTCAGCCACGTGGACTGGAACAGCAAGCAGAGGTGAGGAGCCACTCTCAGCCACGTGACACTGATACACAAAGCTATGAGAGAAGCCGACGTCCAATACTTGAATGTGAATCCCAATTTTATGAGAGAAGCCGCCGTCAGCCTCTCGAAACACACCATCGAGAGGAACTGAGGAGCCGCTTTCAGCCACAAGAACCTGAACCACGAGGGGATGAAGGAAGACAACGTCAGTCCCTAGAGCCAGAACAACAAGTGTATGAGGGAAGACGTCATCAGCCACGTGAACCAGAACAGCGAGAAGAGGTGAGAAGCCGCTCTCAGCCACGTAATGCTGAAACACAAAGCCATGAGAGAAGCCAATGTCCAGTATTTGAACGTGAACCCCGACTCTATGAGGAAAGCCGCCGTCAGCCACGTGAACCAGAACAGCGAAAGGAGGTGAGGAGCCGCTCTCAGCCACATGACAATGACACACAAACCTACGAGAGAAGCCAACGTCCAGTACTTGAACGTGAATCTCGACTTTATGAGGAAAGCCACCATCAGCAATGTGAACCAGAACAGCGAGAGGAAGCGAGGACCCGTTTCCAGCCCCAAGAACCAGAACAACCAGTGTATGATGGTGGACGCCATCAGCCACATGAACCAGAACAGCAAGAGGAGGTGAGGAGCCACTCTCAGCCACATGAGCCTGAACATGTGTCTGGGGAGAGCTACTGTCAGCCACGAGACCCAGAACAAAGGGAGGTGAAGGATTGTTATCAGTCAAGACAGCCTGAACAAGTGTATGAGGGAAGCCGCCATCAGGTCTATGAGCCAGACCAACAAAGAGAGGTGAGGAGCTGTTACCAGCCACATATCTCCAAACCACGAGTTAATCAGGGAAGGCAACATCAGCTACGAGTGTCAGAAGAATGGTATGAGAGAAGGTGCCATCAGCCACATGAGGCTGAAACAAAAGCCTACGAGCAAAGTCGTCATCCGTTCCTTGAACGTGAACCAGAAAGGTATGAGGGAAGTCGTATTCAGGTGTGTGAGCTAGCACAAGAAGGGGTGAGGAACCGTTATTGGCCACGTGAGCGTGGAGCACAAACAGCTGAGAGAAGCCACCATGAATTGCATGAACGTGAGCCTCAAGTGGATGAAGAAAGGTGTCGTCAACTCTGTGAGCCAGAACACCTAGGGGATGTGAGAAGACCCTATCAACCATACGAACATGAACAACAAGTGGATGGCAGGAGAGTTCGTCAATCCCGAGAGCCAGAACAAGAGCATGAGGGAAGCCATCATCAGCTCAGTGAAGCAGAATGGCCACAGGAGGTGAGGACCCACTATCTGCCACGTGAGCCTGAATATGTGCATGAGGGAAGATGCCGTCAGGTCCAGGACACAGACCATCAAGGGGAGGTGAGGAGCCACTATCAACCACGTGAACCTGACACACGAGCATTTGAGGGAGCTCACCGTCCATTATTTGAACAAGAGCCACAACTGTATGAGAGAAGCCAGAGGCAGCTGCCTGAGCCAGACCAGCTGGAGAAGGAAAGGTGCCACTATGAGCCACATGTGCCTGGAAGACAAGTCAATGAGGAGAGCAGACACCAGGCCCGTAGAACTGAACTGCAAGTTTATGAACGAAGCCGGGATCTCCTACGTGAGCCTGAATCACGAGTGGATGAGCAGAGACTACGTCGTCGCCAAGATCCAGAACAACAAGTGTATGAGAGAAGCCGCCATCGGCTCAGTGAAGTGGAACAAGGTGAGGTGAGGAGCCACTCTCAGCCACATGAGCGTGAACAAGTGCCTAAGAGGAGTCACCACCACCCACGGGACCCAGAACAGAGGGGTGCAAAAGATCATTATCAGTCAAGAGAACCTGAACAAGTGTATGAAGGAAGTCACTGTCAGGTCTGTGAACCAAACCAGCAAGGGGAGGTAAGGAGCTGCTATCAGCCACGTGAGACTGAACCACAAGCATTTAAGGGAAGACGCTGTCAGCTACTTGAATGTGAACCTCAACTGCATGAGGGAAGACGTGAGGTTAAGCAAGTGGATGAGGGGAACCATCTGCCTCTTGAGCCAGAGCAAAGGGAAACAAGGAGCCTTTATTGCCTTTACGATGGGCAGCATCAGCCTCATCAGCTTGAACAGCGAGTGGATGATGGAAGCCGATATCAGCACCATGAGCCAGAACAACTAAGAGATGGGAGGAGTCACTTTCAACCCCGTGAGCCAGGACCACAAGGGGATGCAAGAAGCCACCGTCCCTTCCATGAATGTGAACCAGAAGTGCATGACGGAAGCCATCGTCAGCCTCGTGAACAACGGGATGTTTGGAGCCACTCTCAGCCCCACGAGCCTGATCCACGAGCGGATGAGAGGAGTCAGCTTCAGCCTCGTCAACCTGAACTGCAAGTATATGAAGGAAGCTGCCATCAGCTACATGACAGAGAACAAGGAGAGTTGCGGGACCGCTCTTTGCCACTTGTTCCTGAAACACAAACCTATGAGAGAAGCCGTGTTCAGGCACATGACCCTGAACCACAGAGGGAGGGCCAGATGCGTGAGCCACGTGACTCTGAATTGCAATTGGATGAGAAAAGTCTCTGTCAGCCACATGCCCCCATACAACTAGGGAATGGACAGAGACGTTATCAGCCACGTGAGCTAGAACCGGAAGCAAATGAGGGGAGTCGTTATCAGCCACGTGGCCCAGAACAACAAAGGAACTTGCAGAGTCATGGCCAGCCACATGAGCCTGAGCAACGAGTAAAAGAGCGGAGTCGCTCTCATCTACCTGAGCAGGTACAACAAGGGGATGCACAGCCCCATTATGTGCCCCTCAAGACTAGACCACAAGCACATGATGGAAGTCGCCGTACCCTACAGGAATCCAAGACACAGCATTATGAAGGGAATCGCCATCAGTCACAGAACGCAGAACAACAAGGGGACGTGAGGAGCCACTATCAGCCACGTGAGCCAACGCAGCAAGTGCACAAGGGAAACCGCCGAGAGCTGCATGAATCTGAAACACAAAAGGGTGAGGGGAGCCAACATCAACCTCGAGAACCAAAAGAGCAAGTCTATGAGGGAAGCCGCCGTCTGACTCCCCTCTGCAACCCTGAACAACAAAGGGCCGTGCAGAGCAGCGGTCAGTCACGGGACCCTACTCCACAACAGAATGAGGTGAATTGCCATCAGCCACATGAGCCTGAACCCAGGGTGGTTGCAGGAAATGTCCATCAGCGCTATGAGGTGTTGCCACCAAGGGATGACCAAAGCCTCCTACAGCCAGATCAGCTTGTGCCACAGCGGGGTGATAGAAGTGATGACCCACAACCTGAGGTCAAACCTCATGACCGAAGCCTCCCACAGTCCCTGGAGCCCGAACGTCAAAGTAACAAGAGGACCCAACATCAAACGCTTGAGCCTGAGCACCGGGAGGCCGAGAAGAATGGCCAACGGCCCTTTGCTCCTGACCCGAAGAGGGACGGTGAGATCTGTCATCCGGTATCTGCCAAGCAAAGGGATGATGGAGGAAGGCAGCCCCAGTCACATGAAACTGAGCCACGAGGGGGCACAGGTACCCGCCTTCAACAACGTGAAGCCGAAGCCCAGGGCAACACGACAACCTCCCAAAATCCCCGGGAACCTGAAGCGCGAGGACCTGAGCGGGCTCGTCAGCCACAGTACCCTGAGTCACAAGGGGTCAAGAGCAGCCCCCATCAACTGCAGAAGGCTGCACCCCAGGAGGGTGAGAGGGACAACCAACCACCCCAAAACACTGAACCCCAAGATGGAGAGAGAAACAGGCCTCAGGCAGGTGAGGCTAAGCCATCCAAGGAGGAGGCAAGCCAGCGCGAGCCGCACAATCCCGACTCAACGGATGACAACAGGAGCCGCGCAGCACCCGCACCTCCACCCACTGGAGATCCAGGCAGCCAGACTCAGCCACGGGAAGGTGAACCACATGATGGGAGTCGCCATCAGAGCAGCAGGCCTGAGGGCAGAGGGGATGAGGGGAGCCAGCCCCAAGCCTATGAGCCTGGATTCAGAGCAGTACCAGAGCGCAGGCTGCGAGAGGGCGAGGGAAGCCAGCAACAACCGTGGGCACTGGAAGCACCGGCAGAGGGAGGAAGCCGCCAGCAGCCGCCCCAGGGAGACGCAGCGAGCCGGCGTCAGCAGGAGGTTGCACCTGAACAGGCTGCGGGCAGCCATCTGCCTCTGGCACAGCTGCAAGAGAAAAGTCCCACTCGGGCAGCGGAGTCCCAAGAAGGGGAGCAGAGTCACCACCCTCCTGAACCCGTAGTCTCCCAGGAGGGGCTAGGGGACCCTAGGCTGGATGAAGCCAAGGCCTCCCTGCCTTGCAGTCCACTCTATGTGTATCTCCTGGCGCAGAAGGCTGAGCAGCAGCTTTGCCCTGCGCCAGCACCCCAGGAACAGCCATAGGAGCTTGGAGGGCCAACAAGGCCATGCCTACTTTGTCCGGGGCAGCTGGCAGTTCTGCTCCTCTGCCTTTCCTTTAGCATGCCCAGATCCTTGCTACTGCACTTTTCTTATTAGGTTTTGTAGGGTTCCTTCTGTCTAGCCTGCATGAGCTTCTTGCTAAGTCTAACATGTCCAAGACGTGGGGCTAGAGTATGCTTTAGCCATGGGTGGCATCTCCTGGGGTTTTCACGTAAATCTTGGGATCCACAAGCTAACGAACGAGATGGAGTGGGCTCAATGGCTATCCGTGCGGGACAGAGAAGCAGTCCAGACTCAAGACTTGCCGTCTCTCTACGTCACACTGACCCACCTTCCTGCCTATCTACACTCGTGTCCATCTGCCTCCATCCACCCATCCTGAACCCTCCTACACCGCTATCTTTTCTTTCTTTTTTTGGCTGTCAGTGTTTATAAGGTGCTCAGGAGTGTGGTTCTGTGCTAGGCTGCTGCTTGTGTTGTGCCACACAAAATCTTCATCGAAAAGTCAGGCTGGCTGGAAGTCACATCTCGTCCAACCCCCTGCTCAAGGAAGAATCATTTCCATTCAAAGCCTCCCATCTCCGTGTGTCTGTCAGTAATTGCTGGGCCTTGAAGTCTGGAGCCATTTTGGGTAAGAAGGATGTATTTGATAGCTGTTAGCTCTACCCCCTGCATCCCCAGTGACTAAGCCGACTTAGCTCCCATCTCCCCCATGTCTTGAGGCAGATGAATTATGCTCTGGGGACGGTCTCTTATTCCCGCTGCTCTATTGCATGAAAATTCCCAATAAATAGCTGATGACTGAGTTGACTGACTGCTGCTTTCAGCCTGGTATCTTATATCCCAGAAGGCCGATGCCCACCTGGAAATAGCTTCACAACAACAAAGCTTATCTTGATTCAACGTCAGGCCCAGCAAACAGGGGACCAGACTGGGAGGTCTGGCCTTTAGTCCCAGTTCTGCAGTGACACAGTGCAGGTCCTTGTGCCCTTCCACCCTGCATCTGTGAGCCCTGGGGAAGGACTCACTCTCCCACAGTACCCAGCACAGCGGGGCCTCAGTCTTCGTAGGTTGCCTAGAATTATTCCCCTGATCTGTAAACCAAAGGGAGATACGGCTCTTTTAGCCGGCAGAGGGAGCTCCTCATTAACAAGGCAGCAGGAGTGGAAATGATGATTGCCCAGGGTGGCGCGGCGTCTGCCTGGCTCTGCCTGAAATCTGATCTGGATATTCAAGCCAGAGCCTGCCCCTGTATCAAAGAAAAAATCACAGTAAGAACAATAGGGCTGGCACGACGGCAGCACAGGGTGTGGCGCGGCTCCCAGAGCGGGCACAAAGGGCTTCTTGTTCGCTAACCAGCTCGCCCCCGGCAAGTCCGGCTTCCTCCCAGGTGTCCGACGTTGGGTCCGAGGTCAGGGTTGTGATGCAGCAAGGCAGGGTGGGGCACTGCACGATGCGCACAGCAACGATGCCCCAGTCAACGAGGGAAAAACGCTTCCGTCTTTCATGGCCACGCACCATTCTCACTGGTCTTGGTCCTGAGCCAGGATTAGGCCCTGATCATCAGCTCTCTGGAAAATCTGGCTCAGGATGCAGTTTTTCAGCCCTTCCCTTAAAAGCAGCATGTTGTAGTAGACTGGCTGTTGGCCTGTCTCTCCGAGGAACGCAGCCGGGGGAGCTGCATGGGTGCAAATGAAACACACCTCCAAGGGCACAGTGGGGAAGTGGGTTTAGTACTTGGGCAGTAGCTCTCTCCCACATGCAAGAGGTGCCCGGGGACCTGCTTTCCTTTGGGGTTGGCCCTGTAAACCAGGAGATGCCACCCCAGCCAAAGGGCCGCTTGGAGAAGGCTTGATTCTCCCTTGCAAGCTGGGACACCTCTCTCTGCTCCTCCTCTGAATCCAATTTCACACCAGCGCTGGGCTCAGATCAGGACTTTTGCACTCAGAGAGGAGAATCAGCTCAATCATGAGCACACGCAGAGCTGTAGCAACCTGATGGGAGCCCCTCAGCATCCCCAACAGAGAATAAGCATCCCAGCCATGGCCTGGGGGGTCCCTGAAGCTGTTTCTAGGGCTGGGGCAGGGTCTCCTCTTGCAAGGCCCTTGAGCAAGAGAGGCAGGTAGCCCATTGCTTCAGGGCAGTTTGCATTCAGGTCGAAACCCATTGCGGTGCAGGGGCTAGGGCAAGCTGTGTGTCTAGGCTGCCTGCCCAGAATCAAGGGGGATTACTGCCCGGGGTGAAACAAAGGAGGAGAGAAGCAAGGTGAGGAGCTGCAGTGAGATGAAAGCAGGTATCTCCGTGCCAGGAACAGGGAGTGGCAAAAACATGCAGGAGCAGAAGCTGCCCCGTGGGGCAGGTAAATACTTCAAAACCAGAGCAAAGGCAGAGCTCTGAAGGCAGCTCTGGAAGAAGAGTCCAAGCCCACAACACGCTGGCTGGCCATGGCCCTTGCCCAGGAAACAAAGGGAGCAGTAACTGTCTCACACCTGAGCTAGAAGTGGTTCAGAGAGGATCAGGCACTTGCCAAGGACTCAGGAGAGCTGACTCCAAACCCAGCCATGGGACCTCAAGCACATCACTCCTACTCTCTGTACCTGTTTCCCCTCCCACCTTTTGTCTAAGCCAGGGGCGGGCAATTATTTTGGGTGGAGGGCCACTTACTGAGTTTTGGTAACCATCGAGGGCCGCATGACAGGTGGCCAGGGGCAGATAAATATTAATTTTCTAAATTTTTTAGGGGCCCCATGGGCCAGACAATGGCCTGACAGGCTGCATCCAGCCCACGGGCCACATTTTGCCCACCCAGTAAGCTCTGTGCGGGCTGGGGCTGTCTCTCACTGCACTGTGCAGCACCTGGCACCATGGAAGCCTGGTCTAAGCTGCGTATTCTCAGTCTTGCAGTAACATCCATAAGGGCAAATCTGCAGCCCAGGCCATGCTGGTGGTACCTGGGGGCAGTGATTGCAGATCCCACGGTGTCGGCAGTCAGGTAAGAATCATCCAGGGAGCTCCCCTGACACCAGCAATCAATGCCTGGTAAAACCCCAGACCAAGCTTTATAAAACATTACACTGTGCTTGTGTGTGTGTGTGTGTGTGCTTGTGTGTGTGTGTGTGTGTGTGTGTGTGTGTACACATTACATTGCACTTCTGCCATGAGCACTGGTGCGTGTGTGTGGGTGTACACATTACATTGCTCTTCTGCCAGGAGCACTGGGGGTGGGGGGGGGTGTACACATTACATTGCTCTTCTGCCAGGAGCACTGATGTATGTATATACACGTTGTACTGCACTTCTGTGAGCACTGAGAAGTGTGTGTGTGTGTGTGTGTGTCTGTATACACATATTACACTGTGCTTCTTCCATGACAACTGGTGCGTGTGTGTGTACACAGTACATGACACTTCTTCCACGGGCATTGGAGGTGCATGTGTGCATGTACACATATCCATGTGATACAGAAAAAGGAGTGACAACTGCCTCACGTTAATTAGAAACAGCCGCTCATCTGCAGGTCATGCACCCTATACAGCCCACGTCCTTTCATGAACACAGCCAAGGCCTGGGCTCCCAGAGCTGCACACTGGCCTCTAGCCCCGTTGCTGCTGCCCTGCAGGTCTTAGCCCCCTCTGCCTGGAATATAACCAGGGACGGCTATGGGGCATTGTTAGGGGCAGATGGGGAAACTGAGGAGAGAGGTGGGGGAGGGCAATGCCAGAGGAAGGAAAAAGCACAGGAAAGAAAGAAGAAAACTGGGGAGGGAGAAGAGAAGAAGCAAAAGAGAGGCGGGAGCAGTGAGAGGAAGTGGCCAAACCCTCAGCACAGCGCATTCCTGGGCTCTGAGGTCGGCTTTGCAGGAAAAGAAACAAGCAAGTCCAGATCTGAGCGAGCGGCAATTGCACAACCAGACGCGAGGGGTCTGTGAGAGCAACGTAGCTGCCAGGGCGGTGGCTAGGCGAGGCTCTGCCCTCTGAGCAGATCAGTTCCCTAGCACTTGCCGTGTGCCGTTTCCCCAGCTGCAGTCATGGTGAGTTTGGGGCTTTGCCCCAAGGAGAGAGCAGAGGGGCGGGCAGGGGGCAGCTGTGCATGGTGGGAGGGGGAAGTCCTGCAGAGCTGGAGCGCCCTGCTCAGCAGTGGCCCTCACAGCCTGGGGAGAGGTGCCGGGACGGAGTGGACTGGCAGGAAAGGGTGGTACAGGGCACGCAGGGACTCTGCAAGTTCCCTGCCCCTTAGAGTCTCCTCCTTCTCCCGTCCCATCCGCGCCCCCCAGTTCCAGCCGTGCCCATCTAGGCCTCCCGCCCCCAAGCCTTGTCTCCTCCGTGCCATGCCCTGCTACATGCATGCCCTGGTAGCTGCAATGTGCCCATTACCAGGGCAGCCAGGCTCACTTCCCCCTGCCTGGGGCACGAAGGGCTGGGTGTGGCACGCTTCCTGTCTCACTGGGCTAAAAATGGCAAAATTCAGGGGCTGCGGGCTGCGGCAACAGAGCCCACGGCACCGGAGGTCAGGGTGGGAGGGCTGGTTCCTGCCAGTCCCCATGCTCCCTGCACAATTCCCGTCTTTCCTGGCCTCAGCCTGCCTTCCTGCCCCGTGTTGCTCGCCCCTTCCCCCCTTGGTCCTGGCTTTACTCCACATCAGAAAAGTCCCCACACTCCCGGCCAAGGAGGCCAAAGAGAAGCCGCCTGGTGCTGGGAGATGCCAGCAGCTCAGGCCCAGGCCCCTTCCTCTCCCCATGGGGCAGGGGCAGGTAGGGGGAGCCTGATATCGCACTCCCCAACAGAGGCCAACTGCATTCAAAGCTGCACACCATTCACATGGGGATGGAAGCAGGATTTGGGCACGGCTCTGCCACTCGCCTCTGCCCCTGGAGCCCCCCAGGGCCCCACCACCCATCCAGCCTTGCCCTTTCCCACATCCTCATGGGATCCTGCTTTGGTCACATTCTTCCTTCTTGACTCAACATGTCACGTGGCAAATGAAAGGGGAAAAATGCATGTTCCCTCCCATCCCCCAAAACCTGCAGCTGCAGCCAGAAACCACTAGCAGGCAGGGGAGGCAGGGACTGGGCTGCAACTGGAGAGGCCCCCTGCACCCCACGCGCACCCTGGGGGCAGAGCAATTCCCCAAGGTGGGCGGCTACACCCCGTGCAGCGCCTAGACAGGGGATCCTCCTGCTCCAGGCCCCGGGGTGTGTGGGAGCCCTTCCAAATTCACAGCCATGACGCCCTTGCCCCGTGACGCCTTCTGCCCGAGTAACAGGCCTGAAAGGCAGAAATCTGCTGTGGTGGTTGTGACAACAGTGTCCAGACAGGACGCGGAAGACACGGGGTTGCAATAGGAAGGGGAAGGCATTTCCTCCCTGCAAGCGCCGTTATAACCACTGCCCCGAGGCACAAGCAGGCGAAAGAACCCAGGAGTCTGGCCCCCACCTCCTGCTTTAGCCATGAGGGTCTGCTATCCAGGGTCTCTCGGTGCCCCCCACCCATCCAGCCCCTGGAGCTTGCTCCCCCACGTGGCTGCAGGGTGGAAGGAAGCACATCGTGAACCTGAGGGAGGGGGCTGCATGCATGGGGAGCCCCAGCTCGCCCCCTACTCACGAGAGCCCCCTTGTACCTGCAGTCGAAGGTCCCAGCTGCGCCCACGGAGACGGAGCGCTGCATCGAGTCCCTGCTGGCCGTCTTCCAGCGCTATGCGGGGAGGAGCGACAGAGACGAAACGATGCTCTCCAAAACGGAGTTCCTGGCCTTCATGAACAGCGAGCTGGCCTCCTTCACCAAGGTGAGTAGGGCCACGACAGCCTGGCCGGGCTTGGAGCAGGAGGGAAGCATCTCGGTACTGAGTCACTGCAGAGGCGCTGGAGGGGAGGGTGCGGCTGCTTGGGAACCACCAGCCCTTTGGGGCTCTGAGGTGCCCTCCACCCAGGAAAGGATCCTGGCTCCTGCTCCCCCATGACAGCCCATTTGCAGGCCCATGGGGGACAGCGGGGCAGAGCAGTGACCTCTGAAACCCACTGCCACCCAAATCCAGAGCAGACAGTAAGGCAAGAGACAACATGGGCTGGGCTTGGCTCCCATGGGGGCCCAGGGTTCCCTGCCTGGACCAAAAGCCCCGGAAGAAGTGCCCAGATGCCCGGGTGATGGGCCCCACCAGGGACCCTAATGATCACCCTCCCCTGCTCCTTCACAGAACCAGAAGGACCCGGCCATCCTGGACCGCATGATGAAGAAGCTGGACTTGAACTGCGATGGGCAGCTGGATTTCCAGGAGTTCCTCAACCTCATTGGGGGCATTGCACTGGCCTGCCACGATGCCCTGTGTAAAGGGGGTCCCGGTGGCCCCAAGAAACTGTGACCCCTTCTCCCGGTGCCCTGCATTCACTGCACCCCACGGCAAACATTCCACAAGCACCTGAGCAAGACCAAGACAGAGCTGGAAACCCTCCCGCCCCCGCAACTTTGTATTAATAAATTGATGGGATGAAACTCTCTGGCAGGTGTGCTTCTTCCCTGCACATGTGCAAGGGCACAACCATGGGCCTGCAGGTCACAAGCCCCAGTCTTTTGCTCTGGATCCAAGGGTGAGCTCCTGCCTCTGCAAAAGCAGAGGGCTGATGTGAATTTCCCACCCTGGGAAACACACGAGGAATTAGCAACAGCTCTAGGAAACCAGGGAAGTTATTTTACAGGCTCGACTGAAGCATGAAGAAAGGGGTGTGGGGGACAGGACATGTCATTTCTGAGGAAAACACCAGTGCAAAGCATGGCCGCTGCAGGGCCAGAGTTGCCAAGGCCCGGCACTACTGATCACGCCAGCAGCACGAGGGCAGCTCTGGCAGACTGCAGAACAAGCCCTGCCTTTGGGGCAGAGCTGGGGCAGGAGGGGCATTAGGCAGGGATCTCAAGGATCCACTGGCCCCTTCCACAACCCATCTGCCAGTAAGGTGGCACAAGTACGCTCAGGCTCCTCCGTGCTGGGGAAGCAGGATGGGACCTCCAGGTACTTTCCCCACCCCACCGGTGGTAGAGCTGCTGCCGCAGACACAGAAGGCGAGTGCTGCAGCTAGCACTGGTACATGGGGTAGGCTGAAAGGAGCCCACCACTGCCCCCTCCTAGTCTCCAACCCCATTCACAGCTGCATGGTGATCACCCAGCCTGCCCCACTAAGCAGGCTGGCACGCTTCACCCTGCCAAGCCCAGTCTCTCTGGGGCAAAACTCAGTGCTCTGCCATGGTACCGGTCCCTTCCACGCCCCCACAAGCCACTCCAGGGTGAAAATGCAGTTTAGTTCTGCACTCAACAAGTGGAAACACGTGCCCCTTTGAGTCTCCACCAGTGGCTGAAGCCATGACAGGAGTCTCAGCTAGTTAATTTACTTTATTACAGTGAGGAGGAGACAAGGCTGGGGGAAGCTGGGAAGGACAGAACAGCTGAAGCCCTGGGATTCTGAGCCAGTCTTCGCTCCCTACTGAAGGCAAAACACCCATGTGCCCCTTTGATCAGGAATTTAGACACTAGGAGAGCAACCCCTGCTGATGGTCATGAAGTGCCCGGGTCCTCTGCTCAAGGCAGAGAGGGTTCTTGCTGGGCTCGTGAACAGGCTGTACAGATGCAGCAGCAAGTGGGGTACTGGGATTCGAGCTCCCCAGCTATTTTCAGATGGCACCTCTGTGCATCAGGGTGAGAATAAAGCTGCCCAGCCTCTTGTGGCATGTGGCCACAGGGCATGCAATCTTCTGCTACCTGCAGGCAAACATAGCTGCAAGCACTCCTGGCGACAAACCCCCAGGTTAATGCTAGTCACTGTGGGGAATGGGGTGGGGAGCACGGTGAGGGCGGTCGTCTGTGGGGCAGGGAAAGCGGGCGTTACACACAACAGCACATTCACAGTGGAGGTGAGAGCTCCAGGCATGGCAGAAAGGGAGGAGCCAAGGGGAAGGTTTCAGCTCGCACATCCCTCTAATTAAAGGTTCTGTTGAGCCAGCACAGGACAGAGCCTCAGCGGAACTGCAGGGGACTGATGCGCAGCCCGATGACATCTTTGCCGATCTCTGTGACCTGGGGAGCAGAAGGGAGAAGAGGTCAGTGGTCAACAGCAAGGCAACAGGGCTGGCACAGAAGCTGCCATCAGTGCCTGCTGCAGCAGGGTCCGTGCGGCTGGCCAGCACGGGCTCCTTACCATGGTGATGCGGCAGATCTGGCCCTGGTACTCGGGGCAGTAGCAGGCCCCGCTGAGCGGGCACTTCTCCACGGGCTTGCCGCGGTAGATGGGCCGGTAGGAGGCAGCACAGATGTCGAAGGGGTTGTGCATGTCATAGTTGAGCTGGTAGGTGTCGGTGGGGTTCTTCTCACAGGCAGACAGGATCTTGCGAGTCTAGGAAGGGGGAAATGCCTCAGCCATGAACACAGGGGCTGCTGCTGACTGCCCATGGCAGGAGCCATCTAGAGGGGCTGTTCCACCTGCTTCCCAAACAGCAGTGTCCACCCAGGACCCCAGGCAGACACAGGAACATCCCTCCCACTCAGCATGGGTCGTCTGCCGGAGACATACAGCCTCTGCCCCCAAGATGAAGCTAACAGACCAAGCCAGCCTAGAGCTCAGCCTGCTCTCATGGGGGGGTCCCAGGGTCGCCACTCCCGTGATCCGCAAACTCCAGCTCAGTACGCAACCACACACACGTACCTGCTGGGCCACCTCGGGCTTGGGGCCCAGCTCCAGGAGGCGGCGAGCAAAGGTGGCAGCTGTCTTGAAGTTCTTGAGCTTGAAGAAGAGGTTGAGGGCAGTGCGGAGCACCAGGATCATGTGCACAGGCTGCAGGTTGGAGTGGGTGAAGTAGGCAGCCATCTGGTGTGGGGGGAGAGAAGCCAGCAAGTGAACAGAATTACTGCCTGCAGCAAGGGCAGCAGTCCTGCCCAGCTGAGTACAGGCTCTGCCACTGCCGTGGCTGCAGAACAGCCATCTCTGGCTGGTTTGGGGAGAAACCTGCCCATTGGCCTGATAACATGATGGCCAGGTACATGCTGTTGTCAGCATCCCTCAAAAGCAGACGACCCCCTTCCCAGCCTGGCTTGGGAGACAGCTCACTGTAAGGGTCTCTTGGAAATCAAGGTAACCAAAGTCACCCAGTCATATGGGGACACTGATCTGAGGGCTCTCAAGTCCCTCTGTCACAGGCCTCACCCTCCCACCCCAGGCCAGGAGCCTGGAGCATGTTGAGGGGGAACAGCTTTTATACCTCGCAGATGCGTTTCTGCTGCTCCAGGGTCTCCTTGGGGAGCTTCTTCCTCTCAATCTCCATGGAGAGCCCCACGATGTACTCCCGGCAGATAGCAATCAGCTGCTGGGCCTGTGAGGAGGAGGAGGAACAAAGAGCAAGTCAGGCACCATTCACCCCCTGCCTTTCAAGAGGATGGATGTGGGGGGTGGGCAGAGTGGCCCCTCACCTCGGCAATCTCTTGCTTGTTGTCCACCACGAGCAGCGGCACGCTTAGCAGGATGGACCGGAACTTCTCCACTGCCTCCTCGAATTTGCCGGAGGTGGTGAGCTGGTAGCAGAGCTGCAGGCGCTGGATCAGGTCATTCAGCTTCAGGCCAACTGCAGGGAGTGCGTTCTTCAGGGTAGCTTCCTTCCTGAAGGTGGGAAAGGGGAAAAAGGCTTTGGTCTCACAGGAAGGGCAGCCAGATCATGGCAGAAGAGGTTGCCTGGCTGCACCAGGAGAACCAACCAGAAAGGACATGGCAACCAGCCCTAGGAAGGAGAGGGAAGTGACAGGATGGGACAAGATCCAAAGGAAGAGGCAGGAAGGTACCTCACTACTCACCAGTTGCGATGTGGGTATCCATACATGGAGGGGAGGCAAGGCAGGGCTTGGTAGGTGGTGCGGCCCCGGGCATAAGTCTGCAGGAACAGTTGCTTGTAGGGGCCGAAATCAGTCACTCCCACCTGGTCGTGAAGGAGCTGGAGAAGAAAAGATGCACTTAGCCACTGGGTGAGAGCCATCCATGCCTGTGCTCCCCCACCCACTCCATCTCAGCCAGGGGACCACAGAAACCAGTCTCAACCCACAGGAATCCCATTTCATACCCAGGATGCTGAGGGAAACAGCTCAGGACATGTACTGAACCTGTGGCAGAGACTGGAACACTGTCACCAAGCTTTAGCCACAAGACTTCCTTTCTTTGTAATGGGACTATGAGCTCCCAGTGCAGCAGAGAGGGACTGAGCCCTTCCTCCCTGTTAACACCCCAGCATGGAATGGGACCCCTGACTCCATCCTTCAGTCTCAAGGGACACCAGACTATGGCACAGTCAGTATATCAGGGCCTCGAACGCCCTGCATCCACCACACCATCCTCACCCGCTGCCCCGGGAGAGGATCCATGGTGTAACTCACCCTCATGGCTGTCTCGAACGAGCCAGCCAGGATGTGATCAACAGGCAGCTGCGAGTTGTTGCACCAGACCTGAGGGAAAGCAGAAATGCATGACAGGGGGCAGCTCTGGGAGCCACCCCCACCCACAGCAGGGCTCCAGCCAGCATCCTGCAGAGTTCCCTCACCATGCTCCCAACTGATAATCCAGCATCACACATCAGGGGTGTGCAAGATCATTTCAGAGCAAGACAGCAAAGGGTCTGTCCCATTACCTGGGCCGGACTGGTGCCCTTGGTGGGTGGCACGAAGAACCCATCCTCTGCTCCTCCTGCTGGCCCAGCAGGGATGTCCTATGGAATCAAACAGGCACTGATCAGCTCCTGAGCACTGTGGACACACACAAGCCACACCAGGCAAGGCGCCTCTGCAGCGTTGGAGACCACCACGCAAGGCCAAAACAGGTGCAGGGTGGACCTGGTGGAAGTTCACCCCCCACTTGCCCAGTCAAAGGGCTCCAGGCCTGACCTCCACAACCACTTCTAAGCAGGAGGGAGGATCAGCCTCCACAGTCAATCAGATGTGGGACCCTGTCAATACATCCAACAGGAGACCGGATGGGGAACAGAAGTAGAAATGGGTGAAGAACTGAACTGGCTTGTCTCACAATCCAACAGCCACCAGAGCCTAGCAACCCTTCCCTCCTTCCTAGGGATCACTGCAACTGAGCCACAAGCTGCTGCCCAAAACCAGTGCCTGAGCTCACAGTCCCATACCAGTTCTGGGGGAAGGTCCAAATCCTCTTCAACTTCCCATCCACCTCCTTCTTCCTGCCCTTTCCCGACAGCTTCATCTCCAAAGCCATCTGCAGCATCCACAAAACCATCTGCAGGACAGAACAGAACCGCAGTCAGCACCTGCTTGCTGGAGGCTCCCACACTCCCGCTGTGCCCACTT